CTACCTGAGAGACCGCCTCCTGCCATTCACCTCCCAATGACCAATAAAATTGCACAGGTTGGGCCTCCTTCGGGGGCTGTCAACCGGACAATGCCGGCTGGTGGCCCCCTGAGGGAGGGCCTTCTCTGTAGCTGCACCGGCCCTGTGGAACGATCTACCCATAGAGATCCGGACCCTTACTACTCTCCCGGCCTTCCGTAAAGCGACCAAGACCTGGCTGTTCCAGCAGGCCTGGGGCTGTTGATTATATCCAGCCCCACTTAGACAATGGATGGTGTATTATTTTAATAATTGTATCTTTTCTTAAATTTTTTAAATGTTTTTATCTTGCTTGTGAGCTGCCCAGAGTCCCAATGGGAATAGCGGCATACAAATTTTATTAAACTGAAACTGAAACTAAACCGCGAGGATCTCTATGTTCTGCTGCAACCACACAAACCTGGAAACTGTGCTGGCTGGTTCAGTGAGTTGCAGGCAATGGGGCCTCTACAACTTGTTCCAAAGGGCTGCCTTGCCCTACCTTCCCATTATGACTTAAGTTTACAATCGGACCTTTGTTTTATGAACCACCCAGGCTAAAGCAAAGATTCCACAGGAAAGTTTATTGCAAAGTCAGTGCGGACTGCACTGCAACCTTAATCCTTCCTGGGGAGAAAGTAATCCAAAGCAGAATTTTGCCAAAGGCAAAACTTCAGAATAACAGAGCTGAAAGGGATCTTGGAGGTCTTCGAGTCCAACCCTCTGCTCAGGCAGGCAAAACTGTACCATTTCAGGCAAGTGGTTGTCCAGTCTCTTCTTAAAAAATTTCCAGTGTTGGAGCACCCACCACATCTGGAGGAAAGCCATTCCACTGGTTTATTGTTTTGTCAGGAAATTTCTCCTTATTTGTAAGTTGCTTCTCTCCTCGATTAGTTTCCACCTGTTGCGTCTTGTCTACCCTCAGCTGTTTTGGAGAATAGTTTGACTCCCTCTTCTTTGTGGCAGATCCTGAGATATTGGAACCCTGCTATCATGTCTCCCCTAGTCCTTCTTTTCATTAAACTTGTTGTTAGTTGTGAAGTTGTGTCTGACCCATCGCAACCCCATAGACAACGTTCCTCCAGGCCTTCCTGTCCTCTACCATCCCCTGCAGTTCATTGAAGCTCATGCCGACTGCTTTGGTGACTCCATCCAGCCACCTCATTCTCTGCCATCCCCTTCTTCTTTTGCCCTCCACCTTTCCCAGCATCAGGCTCTTCTCCAGTGAGTCTGTGAGTCTTCATTAAACTAGACATGCCCAATTCTAGACATGCCCAATTCCTGCAACCGTTCTTCATTTTAGCCTCCAGCAAAACATCTAGGAAAGCAAATGTAGCATTGCCTGACCTGGACTCTGTGATACAGGGCAGTAGCCCCCAGCCTGAGCAGAGGGTTGGACTAGAAGCCCTCCCAGGTCCCTTCCAACTCTGTTACTCTGTTCTGTGTCAGGCCTGCAGCCATCTTTTCCTATGGATCTTTGGCCTGCCACACTTTCTACTATTCTACTATGCATTGTCTATTGTGGGAAAATGGGAGGGGGGATTGTAGGAGTGAGATGTGATGTAGCCATAACAAAATTCTTTCTAGAAAGCCAAGGTCATCCTTTGTCTTTGTACCTCTGCACCTGATTGGAATTGGATAGGTGGAACTGCCAGCATGGCAGTGTGATGGACTATGTGATGGACTTGTGGGTGTGGGGCAGAGGTGGGTTCCTACCAGTTCGCACCTATTTGGTAGAACCGATTCGTCAAATCTACCGAACCGGTTAGAAGAGGCTCCACCAGTGGACCCCGAAAGCAGGCCACACCTACAGAAGAGGTTCCAAATTTTTTTGAAACCCACCACGGGTGTGGGGGCAAGATCTTGAACTTTCAACTGGGTGGGGAAACTGTGAAGCTTTCAGATTCGGGTTTTCCCAGATGTGCCAACATGGTTCTTTTAATACATTGGAACTTTGAGCCTTGGACTCTGATTTAATTTTGGATGTTATTTGGAATTCTGACATTCTGTTCTTTTGAGCAATTGGCCACTTCTGTGGAGAGACAATTTTTCATGGACTGAAGGGAGTCTGGTTTCGTGTGCTGCCTGCATCCTGCAAATGGGCTTCGCTTGTTTGTGCCCAGTGCCGGTCCATGCACCAAGCATTGGGGACCCCTTGTTATGAAGGCAGTGAAGGGGAAACGGTCTCAATTTTCAAGACTCTGTCACTGTAGCCGCTTTCAATCACTAGTTTTGCTGGTTTGTCTGTTTCCTGACCTGGCCCTGCCTCGAAGGGCTAACACAGCTGCAATTCAAACTTGTGACCTGTGGCACGCATGCTATAGGTTCGCCATTCGTGCTGCTGCTGCCAAAAAAGCCAACACAGTTCTAGGCTGCATAAACAGAGGGATAGAATCAAGATCATGTGTTAATACCACTTTATAATGCCTTGGTAAGGCCACACTTGGAATCCTGCATTCAGTTAGAAAAGATGTTGAGATTCTAGAAAGAGTGCAGAGAAGAGCAACCAAGATGATGAGGAGACTGGAGGCTAAAACATATGAGGAACGGTTGCAGGAACTGGGTATGTCTAGTTTAATAAAAAGAAGGACTAGGGGAGACATGATAGCGGTGTTTCAATATTTGAGTGGCTGCCAGTGACGTGCGGTGAGGTTTATGGCTGGTGAGGCACTGACACAGGAGTTTCAAATATTTTTAGACTTGTGGACTTCAACTCCCAGAATTCCACAGCCCAGGCATGCTCAGTTCTGTTTTAAAGCAACAGCATTTGTTTTTCTCCTTTGCAAAATAAATTTTACTTCATTCTTTTTCTTTTCCCTCCCCCTCCTTCCTCCCTCTTTCCCTCCCTCTCCCCCCATGCACACAGAGAAGTTGGATCCCTCTCTCACTCACTCTCTCTCAAACAAACACA